TGATTTGAAGAAAGGAACACATCTATCTGTGGCCTTAGAGATGAACCTAGTTAAGGCTGCCACATTGCCAATAAGGATTTGGATGTCTTTTGAAGTTACCGGTTCCTTCATGTCGAGGATTGCTTTGATCTTCTTGGGATTAGCCTCAATGCCTCGTTGGCTTATCATGAAGCCTAAGAATTTGCCAGAGCCTACGCCGAAGGCACATTTATTGGGGTTCAACCTCATTCGATGCCTCTTCAGAATGGTGAAAGTTTCAGATAGGTTGGTGATGTGTTGGTCAGCATGTTTACTCTTGACTAGCATATCATCAACGTAAACTTCCATGCTCTTCCTAATCTGTTCGGCGAACATTGAATTGACCAATCTCTGATAAGTTGCTTCTGCATTCTTTAGGCCGAAGGGCATGACTTTATAACAATAAAGTCCCCTGTCAGTAGTGAAGGCTATGTGTTCTTGGTCCGGAGGGTTCATGAGGATTTGGTTGTATCCTGAGTAAGTATCCATGAAGCTCAGAAGTTCACACCCTGTCGTAGAGTCTATAAGTCTGTCTATTAGAGGAAGAGGAAAGTTATCCTTCAGGCATCCTTTGTTTAGGTCGGTGTAATCGACACACATTCTCCACAAGACCTTTTGGAGCAGGAGACTTTCCTTGGTCGGATTCTTCTTAACAAGGACAACATTTGCTACCCACGTTGGATAATTGACTTCGCGGATGAAGCCTATGCCTTTGAGTTTTTCAACTTATGCCTTCATTGCCTTGTACCGTTCAGCGTCATAAGATATTCGCTTCTGTCTCACTGCCTTGGTCTTGGGGTCAATACTTTAGCGATGACAAATGATATCGGGAGAGATGCCTGACATGTCCTCGTATGACCAGGCGAATACCTCAGTGTTCTCTTGCAAAAAAGAGATAAATGCCAACCGAATGGGTGGTGACAAGGTGGTGCCAATCTTCACCATGCGATCTGGATAATCTTTTGAGATAGAGACCTTCTAAAACTCTTCAGCGGGTTGTGCTTGCTGGGTGAAATAGTCATCTCGAGGATTGTCGGGTTAACTGTTGCCACCGTGAAGATCCAAGTTGGCTTCTTCTAGGCTGGTCTTTATGACTTGGTCATGTATAGAAAGGGTTTCCTTGGGCACAAGCAGGTGTTGTTGCTTGACCGAAGTGTTGTAATATGATCGTGCACTAAGTTGATCTCCTCTAATGTAACCATTGCCATAAGGGGTTGGAAATTTCATCAACAACATATGTGTGGATACAGTGGCGAAGCTAGAAATTTTCAAGGGGAGGGGCGAAATTTAAAAGCGTACAAAATTCCAAAAAATATGTAAACAACAAAATCCTTTTATATAGTAAAAAGTTTAAGTGTCGTTCGTAATATATTAATACAAACAAGTTACAACTGTTGTCGTTCATAATGTATTAATACAAACAAGCCTATACGTGATGTCACACCCCACTCCTAATTAAAAATAGTTTTGGGGTCTTAATTGGTGAGCCCAAGGGCTCACCCCTGATATCTGTCCCTTTCTCCCGTACTCCCTCTCTCATCTCTCTTCCTTTCTCCCCTCACTCCCTCTTCTGCTCTTCGAAACTCCCCGAGCTCTCTCTCCCTCAAGTCGCCCTCACCCTCTCCCTCTCTACCCGTGAGCAACATCCATACCCACAATCTTATACACACGCACACCCTAGGACCCTCCCAAGCAAGAACTCGAACCGAGGACAGGTCCGTGGTGCACCACAGTGGCGGAGGTAGAACAGCCATGGAGGGGTTGGGTTTTCCGGGAGGGGAGGGGCTGAACCTGCGCTAGGGCTGTGTTTTCCGGCGAGGGGAGTGGCGGACGCCACTCCTCGCCCTCACGTGGCTTCGCCACTGTGTGGATACCATGGCCTTGAGATCATTAATGCATGTGCGTCCCAAGATGACATTGTATGCCGTTGGGCAATCAACCACCAGGAAGTTAGTGGTAATGGTAGCTGTGTAAGGGCCTGTACCAATGGTGAAAGGTAAGTGTATGCTTCCCAAAGGTTGCACGATATCATCGGAGAAGCTTATCAGAGGGGAAATCGAGCGATTGAGCAAGTGTTCAGCTACATTAAGTGCCCTGAAAGCTTCAGCAAACATGATATTGACCGAAGCCCCCGTGTCTACCAGGATTTGTCGTACTTCAAAGTTGGCTATGTGAGCTTCCACGATTAGTGGGTCGTTGTAAGGGTAAATGATACCTCTTTCTTCCTCAGGGTAGAAACATATTAGATCCCAGTTAGGCATTTGATATTTACCTTCCCTGATGTCTTCCACGTGAAACACTTGGTGGCCAGACCTTAAAGCTCGTTCACTATTTTTCATAGCCCTGTTGGAAGATTTAGATATGGGTGTGCCACCACTTATGGAATATATCACATTCACCTGGCATTAGTTATGGTTACCCTTTGGAGGGTGAAAGAGGAATTGATCAATTTTTCCTTCACGTGTCAAAGCTTCAATATGATCACAAAGGGTGATACATTTCTCACCGTCATGGCCGTTATGCTCGTGGTAGCAGGAAAATGTGCCCGTGTTCTTCGTGGGCTTGTAACCCGACTGCCTTGGCATTGGCTTCGGTATCAGGTGTGCTATGCTGGGGTAAATGGCCACACATGTGGCATTCAAATGTGTGTATGTCTCATACCTCGGGGTAGGCCTGTCCTGACACGTGCTTGGCCCACTGTGTTGACTGCCTGGGGGCGGGCATTATCTTGGCGATACCCTTGGTTATCGCGATAGTGTCCTTTACTCCTTTTACTAAAATGAGACTGGTGAGGATGTAAATCTTTCATTTTACCCTGAGATTGATATGTCTGTTGACTTGGTGAAGTATTAAGTAAGGTAGGAGGAGGCACCGCTGCCGTTTGGAAGGTTGAGGTCTTCTCATTTGGTTGGATCTGGCTTCCACTCCCTACTTGCTGATAAGGGGTGGCTGTGGGGGGTTTCCCTTGATATGTCATTGCCTCGACGGAGGCATGGTTATAAGCATGGGCCATCACCTCAGAGTAAGTCTTCCAAGTGTTGGCATTGATCATGTACTTAAAGAAACAGTCACGTAAGCTTGCCGTAAAGGCTTTGAGGGCAGTCTTGTCGTCTGCCTCGGCACAACGGGAATACTCATGGCTGAAGTGGCCAGCATACATACGTAATGACTCGTTTGGCTTCTGGCGAATAGGGTATAAGTCATCCGCAGAGTGCAAGCGATCGATTTGGAAAATGTGTTGAGAAACAAACAGTTTCCTTAATTCCTCAAATGAGTTTACCGTCTCAGGTAGAAGACGGCAATACCAGTTTAGAGCTCCACCAAAGAGGATAGAGGGGAAGAGAAGACATCGCTCTTCATCGATGTGCATCCGGTATGCCATGGTGAACTCAAAAAAGTTAAGGTGTTAAATCGGGTCCTCCTTTCCAGTATAGAGTTGCAAGCTTCTGCTTTGTCTTTGCTTGGATGGGGGTGTCGAGGGTCCTCCTTGTAAGAGGGTCAGGCCTAGGTTGGTTCCAATCAGGTATCTCAGCTTGTCGTTCGGCTTTCAAATTGTTTACTTCCTTAAGAAGTTGTAGGACAAGAGGGTCCTGAGTGGAGTCATGTACCACTGGAGCTTTCTTTCGTAAATCTTCATCTCCTCTTAGAAGTATGAAGGTTTGATCAAGAGCATGTGATTTTTCCCTGGACTTGCCGTACTGACTTCCAAGGTATGTCTGTCGGAATATCTCTGAGTCCCCTATACCTTTGTGTTTCTCTAGGACTTGTTGCCCCTTCCCCAAATTGGTAGCCGGCCTGGGACATGGAATGGGACCGAGTCTTTCAGAAACCCTTGGGTCATTGATCTTCGAGCTTACATGGATGAGATTGTCTCGACGTTGCTTTAGGAAATCTCGACAGTCGCGAAAGACGGCTTTCGATCCTTCCACTCCTTCTGTAAGGAGGTGTCTTCATCCACTTCTCCTGCTTCGGGTCGAAGCAGTTGGGTTAAGAGAAGTCTCATGTTGATCAATGTTCTGATGATTAGCTCACTCCTCATCAGGGATACCTATGTCGAATGAAGGTGACCCTCCGTGTTGGGGGGCACCTAGATGATGGTTGATGTCCACAGGGGTAACGAGCTCGCGTGTTTGAGTACGCCTAGTTTCGTGGAGCGTCTCAAAGAGTTTCTCATACTGCTCCTAGAGGACCTCATTCTTCATTGTTATCTTGTTGTTCTGAGCTTCTAGCTCATCGACTTTAGCTTAAAGAGCAACCCTATTTTCTTCCTTCTTTCGTTGCCTCACACCAAGTGCAAGAAGGGTGTCATTCTGCGTGTTGTGGCTTCCTTCGCTCCCCATGTTGGAGAGGGATGCCTGGTTAAAAAAGAGTGTACGAATGGTGGAAACCACCTTAACAAAGCTGAAAATAGTGGGAATAAGTGTCGTTCCCACAGACGGCGCCAAATGTTGATGCACAAAATCAGTAAGGACTTTGATACAACAGAAAATGTTAAGTTTGTGACCTTCGCTAGATTGCTCCGGTCACTAGTGTGGATAAGTATGTAAATGGATAGAGACAGGGAAGCAAACACAAGATGTGCGTGGTTCACCCAAATTGGCTACGTCCATGGAGTAGAGGAGTTCTCATTAATTGTGAAGGGTTTACACAAGTACATAGGTTCAAGCTCTCCTTTTGCGAGTACTAGTGAATGATTTAGTACAAATGACATTAAGGAATATTGTGAGAGAATGATCTCTATTTATAGAAGAGAGTTTCTAGTTTCATTCTGACATTGACACGTGTCGTGTTGTGATTGGCTTCTGATGTTGACACGTGTCGCGCTATGATTGACTTCTGATGTCGACACGTGTCGCACTGTGATTGGCCTCCTGGTTAGAGGGAAACTTTTATGGGTCTTTGACGGTATAACGTTGACCGGTGCTCAATAGTTTCGAGATTGGTCAAGTATGGTACAAACAGACTTAATATAAAAAACGTACCACATAGCTGGGCACTTGAAAATGACTGCAGAGCCACACCCAATTTTTTCCGAATCCTCAAACTCCTTCGGGCAACCCTCCTTAAGAGCGACCTGCAGATCATCAAATGTTTGAAAATATTGGTGCATGCCTCTCTTCCACTTGTACCGTTCAACGAAGAGCTTGTTGACGTACGACAACATATTGTCTTTGATGTTGTCGAAATTGTAATTCAATTGCAATGCAACAAATTAATTACATACATTAAGTAATATAAATATATAATTTCAAGAAAAAGCAATAAAGGCAGGATACTTATCGACAAATAAGTGCGCACATTTGTCCTTACCTAGCCTGGCATCGCCTTCCAAGACTTCTATAGCATAGGGCAATAAGTCCAAACAATGTGACCAATGTTGTGGGCCAATGCGCTATGCTGCTCCAGCGTTGGTGCAGCCCAATGCCACTCATCGTATCTGATCGTGATACGTCCGTTGGTCACTTGGGTGACCTTCGCCATCTTCAATTGGAGACAAGGTCCCTGGGTATTTTTCTTTGCTGAAAAAAAATAAAAAACAGTCAAACAAACACTACAAATTATATCGAAATTTCGGCAGAACCTCCCCTAAGGTTATAACAATTCCCACACCTTGGACATTGTAATAATAATATATGATATCAAACAACAATCACAACTAGGGGTGGACAAATTAATGGGGCATGGACCCGTGGGTAGGGGGCAGGTCCAATTTTTTTAAATTTGAAACAGGGCGAGTCCACATTAGTTGTGAGGCGGGGCGAATCCTAATTGTTGAGGAAATGGATCCCCAACCCGGACCGTTTCCACCGTCCAAAAATTTGTCTGTCTCTCAAACAAAACTCTTCATCTCTCTCACTAACTCTCCCTCTCTTTCATCTCTATCCCTCGCCTTTGCAACTCACTCTATCGGGATTTCCATACTAAAACTGCATAGTGTCAAGCAAATAAACATCAACAATTTGATAAACTGAAAACGGAGTGACAAATCTAAGAAAGAAGTAACTTTTACCGCTATAACAGCAGCATCTGCCAGAAAATATATGAAGTCACCATCAATATCAAGCTGCACACAAACTTGGTCAATATGCAAGTGACAAGTGAAAAAAAAAAAAAAATTCCCACCGGTTGGAACTGGACTCATGATTTACAAATGGTGGGTGCAAAGTGTGAAATTCCAACCTGGCTTGCACCAAACAACGCCCTTATTGCTTTTCCATTAGTTGTAAGACTTTGTTCAATGATACGAGTAGTTTCTTGAAGTGCAGCTTTACATTGTGGACTTGCAGACTCACCAATCTGCAAATCCGACTTCGAATTCTCTACCGCCTCACGAGCTTGCCGCTCGCGGTCCGCCCAGAAGAAGTTGGAGTTCCCCTTGAACGTCAAAACGGTGTCGTCGTCGTCGATCTCAGGGATGACCCACTCCTTCTTGGACCAGACGCCGGAGCCGTACGAGGAGTGGAGCAAGGTATAGGAAACCATGGCTGAGAGGAGAAAGAGGGGAAGTGTGTGGACTTCACTTAACAAGAAGCTACCGGAAGACATGGCGCAAAACGGAACAGCTCTTATTGTGATAAGACTCTCGGTTGTTGGTGTTGTATATATTAACAAGAGAAAAAAATGTTACCAAAGCCTCTAGGGCAACGACTGAAGAAAGAGGTGGCGTCAGGCATGCCATCTTCGTTCAGCCAAGGATCAAACATCGTCTTCAGTATTTGGAGGATCTCTGGATTCTCGAACCACTTGACTTTCTTCTGACCAGCAGTGACGTCCTTCATGCTATCGATCTCCATCATCGCTATCGCTGTTGAAACCCTAGGCACAAAAAAAAAAAGGAAAACTTACAACTCGATCGAATTGTTTTATTTTTTAAAATAAATTTGAATTGGATATCTGATGATGTTTTGCATGTCCTGTTTTTGAAAATTCTAGTATGATCTAGTCTACGATGCACATATACTGCACATCGGTCGCATATCGCATGTCGGATACGCAAATGGACACGATACGCATTTGATATGGTCGAATATGTGTTGGATACGTATTTGAATCAACAGATACGGCGTTTGACAGATGGATACGGTTATCCGACTATTAGGATACAGATATCTGCACCATGGCCTTGGACGCAATTTCGTGGAAGAAAACCTCATGACGGAGATGACCCAATTTGGTGGGAAAAGGCCTCGCGAAGAAGATAATGCGATTTGGCAAAGGAAAGCGTCGCACGAAGACGACCCGATCTAGTGGAGGAGGCTTCGCGAAGAAGATGATTGTTATAAGTCGACATGCCATTTGTTTGTTTCTGTAGAGAAAAACGACACCACAGTTTCTTTTTTTTCTTTTTTTTTATTTATTTACATTTTTAGGGTTTAAATGAGACTAAAGCCCAAAACTACATAGCCCACATTTACACCACTACCATCCTTTCTTTTTGAGAGTATGAATAATACAAATTAAATTTGAGTAATTAATTTTTTTATTGTTATTTAAAATGTATTTTTAAATATATATTATATAAATTTCCGTATCCATTACGTATCGTGTCTTTTAAAAATTTGACGTATCCCTATGTCTGTGTCCGTGTCCATGCATCGTAAGATCTAGTGTATCTTATACACTGGAAACTTTGCACCGGAGCATATTAGAAAATCCGGCTTTGTTTTTCTTTCAACGGATGGCCAAACTAACCTCTTCTTCACCATCTGGAGGACTTTTGGATCTTCGTACCCATGAACGGAGCCAATGAAGGCTCACTGGGGGTAGATGCCCCCACTAAAGTAATTTGTTTGTTTAGTTGCAGATTATAATTATATAATATACACGGGTTATTTTTGAAGAAAATATATTTATCTAATATCCAACATACATTCATTCTACTTATACTCCATATCAAATATTATATGAGCAATAGTGCTCTTGTTCTGTCATTCAAACCGAAAAAAAAACCCTCTCATGCCTATCATGTACTTATATTTTTCTCATCACTTTGTCACTTTCCACTACTATATTGAAATTTTGTAACATTGGAATTATGATACATCATCATTTGAAATCATCTTTAATATCATATTGTATATAACCATACTATAATAAGATTTTCTTAGTTATTTTTTATTGCCCCCATTAGAAAAAATTTATAGCTCCGTTCCTGTTCGTACCACTTGATTATTACCTTATCAGTGAAGCTTCTCTCCTCTTTGGTCTCAATCGTTGCTCTTGAATAGATGAGATGAGATAGAGTAATAATGAGGAATTTAATAGGAATAGAAGAAAATATAGTATATATGGTGGTTTGCCATGTTGATCAAGATTCTGTTAGTCTCTCGAAAAAAAAAAATCCACGAAGATCGCAGCCGCTCAATTGATCAGGGACAAAAGTTACTAAATCTGAGCCGTTGAACATAATTGAATGGATGGGATTATAGGGAATTGAATTGAACACACCATCATTTTCATGGTTAATTTTGTCTCTTGATCTACTTCTAATCTGAACCCCTCAGTTTCCCTAAACACAATCCGATGGCTGGATCAAGATAACACTTGCCTAACGGAGATAACGAGAACCATTAGCAATCTGGACCGATGAGAGGCGTAATATATGAGTGTTAGTCTGTGAAATAACTCGAATTTCAAATCAATCACTTGAAATGCTTATGTTTTTTGGGATTTCCAATGTTCGGTTCGTAAATCTACTCCAAATTGAGCCGAGTTGTACTGTTTATTTCTTGTCTCAGTATTGGGTACGTGCAGTATTGTATTTGCTGATTGATACGATGGCTACATGTGCCTTTTGCATCTTACAGGGACTTACATTGATAAGAAATGCCCTTTCACTGGAAATGTTTCTATGGGGGCCGCATCCTGGCTGGCACTTGCCATGGTGCTAAGATGAATAAAACAATCATCGTTCGAAGGAATTATCTACATTATGTCAAGAAATATCAAAGGTATAACGTTCGCATTAATTTTTTACATTTTCTATTGTATCTGTTGTCATTTTGGAGAATTAACAAGTACCATCCTCTTTGCTGTTGTTCTGAAATCTTTTTCTTTCTTGCCGTTTTCTTAAGATATGAAAAGAGACATTCCAACATCCCGGCACACGTACCTCCATGCTTCGGTGTGAAGGAAGGAGATCATGCTACCATCGGCCGGTGCAGGTGATTTACCTTAGCTCGTTCTTAACTACATGTTTATGTATGTAATTTGGCAAGCGCTAGTGCTCATTTTGTTCATTTTTTTTTGGGTGCCTTACCAATGTTCGGGCCACTGTCCGAGACTAAGAGGTTCAACGTGTTGAAGGTGACTCCTGCTGGATCTTCCGGCACTGGCAAGAAGGCTTTCGCTGGAATTTGAATTTAGGAACTCTTGAGTTTCATGGTAGGCTGGCGCTGTAGGCATTGAGGAGACATTAGTAGCTTCCCTTGATTTTTTTTTTTTTTTTTACCCCTTTCAATTTTTGATACACTGGCTAAATTTTGTTGTTTCGATGACTCTCGTGTTTGAATTATAGTGCGTGTGCTTTGAGTTGAGATGGCTAGTTCTTTCTGTTCCACCGCGGCAGCCGCCCTGCGCCACCACCATATTGACTGATTTTATGTAGTCTAGTATGGTGCGATGGGTACACAACAAAGTGGGCGTGTTTAGGTGCGGTCCAAATTCAAAGGGATGGGTAGCACTCTGTCGGGCTTGTATAATTCTCATGTTTTAATGACCCATTTCTGTATGCCTCCAGTTCTTGTCGGAGTCCATTCCTCCTTGACTTCATGCAATAAATTAGAAAAATCTGGCTCCCACTTCCTCTGCAATTCGCAAAAAATTCCACCCGGAGTGCCAAAATTATGTTGGCTCACACTTGCACACAAGTGAGTTGAGTGTCTTAATCAAGTTACTATAACGTGAATAGGGTTAAAATTCATTTTACGTTTTTTTTTTTATGCCTTGTTCTTTAAAGGACTTCAAATATTGTCTTTATGTTTGTCAAATGATACTCACAAACTAATTGGATATTGATTTAACGCAGTTTTCAATCCTTATACTGATATAATCACAAAAATGTATGACATACTATACGAAAATGAAAGAACATGGTTAAAAAAAACGCTTGGCCTCCCGCCGAAAACAACACCTTCTTCTGTCTCTCTCTAGATCTCTCTTCGTATTTTCTGGGCTCAAATTGCTTTGTTTTGCTGCAGAGGAAGAACATGGTAAAAAAAAATGCTTGGAGCTTTTGAAAATTTGACTGTTTGTGGGACAACTTCATTACAACATCGAAATTATCCATTTATTTAGATAGCTAACCAAAACAATCTGAACTCTGAAGCAGGCCCCATTAAACCATCCCAATGAATTAAACAGAACTAATCAAAGTGAAGCGAATATTGTTTTTTTATGACGTTAAGCGACAAAATATAAGTTTAAAGGGAATGTGAGATATTGTGTTATAGGGTGCATAACAAGAAAAAATAAGCCCTGCTTAATTCATTTTGAGTGATTTTTGCACTCTCGTTTTTTCTTTTACAGTAATATTTTTGTTCCACTCTTCGATTACCTTTTAAGTTATTCAATTCGTGACATATTTACTTATTAAGAATGAAGTAACAAATTAAGAAATAAGTGAATCTAGGAATGACAATCAAACAAACTAACCCCTAGTAGATCCCACTCTTTCTTTTTATTCTTCGTGTGCTAATGAACGTGGGGGAATTTAAGACTTGAAATGATTTGCTTCCTACATACACTCATTTTAATAAATAAACGCGTCATCAAGGGTTAGAAAAACAACGAGTTCATGTCAAGAAAATGGACGCTCGAAAATCACTATGCTTCACATAACTGTTGTCTAGCCAAGCAGCATGGCCAACACAAGGACTTGGCACTAAAACATTCAAGACCAATAATACAATTTCAAGTTTTAAGTTTCTCACATAAAATTAGGTAATTAGTTAGAGACGTTCCTGTCTTGTCGACTCCATTTGATGTACGTCATTCGGCAATTTCCATGTATAGTGGACGATGTTATGCCACGTCAGGCTCCACCCACTAGTAAGCACCGAACCACGTATCCTTCCCTTCTGTTGGAAGTTAAGTAATCAGCCGACTAGGAAGGTTCCTTCTGTGTTTAATAAGCTAATTGCCAACCAAACCAAATAATTAAAATTTGGTAACTTTAACGAAAATATCTTAGTACTGTTTATTTTAACGAAAAATCATATTTTTACACAAAAAAGTCAATACTGATACTATTTATTTACCATTTATTTTGTTCTTATCGTTACAATTTAAAATTTCTGACCATTTTCATTAGTTTTCCTTTAAATTTTTTAAAAGAGGAAGAGATAGCTCCCCTTTCTTCTTTTACATGGCTTGACTTTTACTACCACAGAAAAGGAGAAAGCCCGAAAGTGCTTTTGATCCACGTCCACGTGAACCGGGTAAAAGTTGAGTCCCCCACTCTTTAGCAATAGCTTGTTTGAGTGACCGGAAATAATTGACAGTGAATTTACAGCCGCAGTGCAATTATTGTGAAAAAGAAAATTACTTTAAAATGTAAAAAATATGGTGCTGGTGGACAGGTTGCAGAGAAGTGGAGGTATTGTAGCAACTAGCAAGCAACCCTTCGTAGAGGCAAAAGGCAAAAGCACGAAAGACTTCTACAACCGGATGCTATGGTTGTGGTATTTCAAGTTAATTATTTATTATTATGTGAAAAATTGTTGAAACGTATCACGATTTGTGAATACCATTGTGCACTTCTAAATGCATGTAAGTTTTATTTCGTTTCTTTATAGTTCTACATACAACTGTATTACTTTTTTCTCCATGTATATCAATTTTCACGATGAGAAATATATAAAGAATCTGTATATCCCGATTACATTCAAGAATCAGAATTTAAGCCCTATCAATTTGCCATTGTGAAAGTGGAAAGCAGAAGAAAAAATCCAATGTCATTTTCTGGCATTATCATTTCCTTTTAATGAATATGTCCTTTAGTTTCACTTTCTAACTTTTTTGGAGCAATTGTTGTCAAATTAAATTAAACTAACTTCCTAATATAACTTGTCTTTTAACTTATTAGGCCTTGGACAAATCTTATGGATTTGAAAATAATTGTTGGGGCAGTAGAATTCCTCCCATCATATTCTGAGGCTTGATGGACAAGTGTAGGAAAAATCAGGTGGAAGATTAAATATTTTTGGGTTAAGTATATATGCGCTAACTTAATCAAGCCGACTACTCTTCTATCTTATGTGTTATGGAAAGTTATGCAACGAAACAAAACTCAATAGAAGTGGTGCTATCCACACACATTTTTTTACCTTTTACCCATTTCTCTCAATTTTTCAGATTTCAGATTTAATGAATTGAAGAGAATTAAAGTACAGAAACTAACAAAGGGGGTGTAGAGGGTAAAAAGGATGAAACAAAACCCATCATATATAAGAGATGGTGCTATCCACACACCTCATTTACCTTCTGCACATTTATTTCAATTTTTAGCCTTCATATTTAATAAATTGAAGAGAATAAAATGACATAAATTAACAGAATATGTGTTAAAAGTAAAAAAAGAAGTGTGTGAATAACACCACCATGTATAGTTACTTATATCTTGGAAGTCTATTCCAAATCCCATCCTTGGAGATTTTTTGTTCTATTTTTGCCCAAACATTTCTTTCATTTTTAACTTCTTTTCTAGTTTAGTCACTTAGTTTAAATTTAGTTATATTTTTTTGTATTTGTAAGCATGCGGTTTTGACTTCGACTTCTGTAGATAATAACTTCGATTACAAAATTATAGATGGTTTATTGTGTAGCTTATCTATTTATTACCACGGTCAATGGTTTTTTTTTTTAATTCTAACAAGAAACAAAACTTCTTTTTTTAGTGTTTAAATAAGGAAATTGTCTACCGACCAAAACAACATGGAATTTGTCTTATTTTTTATATTCTGATATATGTCTTTTTTTATCAAAAATTCAAGGACATATCCCACAGCTGTGCGTGATGTAAGCACAATTCTTTTTTAATGTTTTATATTTATTTTTTATCATCAATTGTGAAATATATTTGGTCATTGCACTTAAAATTGTATATTCTCACGCATCTAATAATATATTGTCAAAAAGGGACGATTAAGACTGTGATTTTTGGCTAATGGTGGTTACTACCAAATTAATTAATTAATTAGTTATTAATGGTTAAGACATTTTCAGATGGAACTTTCTTTTTGTCTAGTTGTGGCATTTAATCAAATGACAATTTAGATTTAATAAAAGCAAAATAAAGGCATTTTTAGATAATTTCGAGGACATTTCTTCCATATGGGAATTTTGAGCATAGTTTGACGTCTCTCTAAAATATTGAGGGAAAAATGGTATCTCTAAATTTATGAGATTTGATAAAATAAAGATGTTGATTTTAACGAAACTATTAGAAAACAAAAATGCATGAAGTACAATGGCATTTTAGCGTGCCTTGGTCAACATCAGTTCATTCTTTCATACCCTCGAAGATTCACAAAAGCATTTCAGCTTCTCATTAACCGTCATCTTGTGATTCATCAGCATCAGAAATTGAATTTAGAACGTGTCTTGTGGAATATAGACATGTAATTCATCCATAACCTAAAAACATTTTAATAATTAAATGTGCACCGAAAAAGTTCAAAAGATTTAACGAGTGCACCAACTAATTGAAGATAACTCATATTATTTGATAATGTATAGTAAAATCAGTTGACTATTACTATTGTAATTATTAATTTTAAGGGAATAATTCATTTTAACTCCAAATCTAGATAGCTTTTGGACCGCTTGAAGTTTCGAATTGAAACTTTCCTCACTTTACATGGTTTAGATAAATTTCTATAGATTATTCAATTATTTGTTAAAAAAAGAGAATGAAATGCAATGTAAATTTTTAAAATAAAATGAAATTTTTTATTTACCAATAAAAAAAATATAAACATAAAACATTTGAACAATGAAAATAGGAAAAAGATATAATAATATCACAAGAACCCAACAAACTGGTTTCCAGCCACGCTTTCACAGAAAAATCTGGCATTCCTCTCTCTCTCTCTCTCTCTCTCTCTCTCTCTCTCTCTCTCTCCTCTCTGAGACTACAACAACAACTACAATAACCAGAGGCCCCTATTTCCCACTCACATATTCTCAGAATCTTCTCACCAGAGTCACCCACAAATCTATATTTTTCTTCCCTCTCTGTTTCTTACTACTTTCCGATTCCCTCAGAAACACAGTAACACCGCCATTAACAATTTCATCAGCACCATCATGTGCCTGATAGACGCAGAACAGCTCGGTCAAGAAATGGGGAACATGGAGAATAATAACGACATCGATTCCAACGACAATAACAACAAGCAGTGGTCTCTGCAATTAGACCACCGGACGGAGGAGGAGAATTTGGACCGGGAAACTCCTACTGTGATGAGCTCAAGTCCTCAGAAGAACATGATAAATTCGTTTCAAGTAAGAATTCTTGTCCTTTGACTGCTTAAATATGTTGGGTTTGTCTCAAGTTTGAAACTTTTAGGACCCCTTTGGCTAAACTTGAGTGTTGAATTGATTTCAAGTATAAACTTTTGTCCCTTGACTGCTTGATTGTATTGGGTTCTTCTCAATTTTGCAACTTTTTTGGACCCATTTGGTAAAATTTGAGTCCAGTCTTCAGAAAACCCTGTTGAATTCATTTGAAAGTGAAGCTTCTTGTTCTTTGACTGCTTTGCTCTGTTGGGTTTGTCTCAATTTTGAAACGTTTTAGGACCTTTTGTTTGAAATTGAGTTCTGGATCTTTGTTTTCTTATGGGATTGATGATTGGAAGTAACTTTTACCCTTTATTATTTACTTAAGCTTTCAGTTAATTTTTTTTTATCCTTGCACTGCTCCCATTAATTTTCCTGTAGTCATTAGCTTGTACTGCTGCTGTGCTGCATCTTAAACGAAATTTTTGTGCCTGAAGCCTTGAACCACCCCAATTTAGTAAATTTCACTTCTGTGTTTCGCTTTCATTGATCGTGAGGCGATTCCTTTGCAGAAGTTATGTATTTCCTTATTGTGCTCTGTGCAGCTGAATGCTTATGATTAAAGCTCTTCCTTTCAAAGATTCCTTGGATTGTGGAATATGGAGGGAAATTGGTGCTTGTTATGTGTTGACAGAATTTATATATTCACAGCCTTAGACTTTGCTTTAGTAGGTTTTCATTTCTCATCCTTTTGGTGGCATCCCGTCGGCGTTGATGTTTAGTTGCTATGTCAACTTTTGTGAATTGATTTTGTGGTTCGTTTTCTGGTTGGAGAACATTTTCCATATGAAACTGTGCATATAATACTTGGTGTAACTTTGGTTTCCAAAAATTTGTTTCCTTAATCTTTTTACTTGCATTCCTTCACATTCTGATTTGAGTTCGTTCATGTTTACCGCCTTTTAGCTTGAAAGCATAGGCGAGGATACAGTGATTGCAGACAAAAAGCAGAGCCTGTTGAACTTTGTTCCTGCCCTTCGGTCAGGAGAGTGGTCTGATATTGGTGGTCGAACCCATATGGAGGATACTCATATATGCATTGGTGACTTAGCTAAGCAGTTTGGTTATAATCTACTCGGTGGGGAAGCTATCTCCTTCTATGGTGTAAGTTTTCTCGCTCTCTTCCTTTTACAACAATTCAAACCATCCCAATGAAAGCTCATACATCAGTTCTGACTTCTGTTTTTTCTCCAATCTTAATAATGTAAATGGAAATTTGAATAAACAGGTATTTGATGGCCATGGAGGAAAGGATGCAGCACACTTTGTTCGTGACAATTTACCAAGAGTCATTGTTGAGGATGCTGACTTTCCTTTAGAACTTGAAAAGGTGATTACAAGGTCATTTATGGAGACAGATGCTGCATTTGCAAAGACGTGTTCTCTTGAGGCTCTTGTTTCTGGCACAACTGCACTCACTGCAATGATATTTGGGAGGTAAGGAACTCTTTCTTGCGGTGTAGGTTGGTTATTATTTATAATCATGGTGTTATATTACAAGTGGTGTCTTGGATAATCTGTCACTGCAAGTCTTGGTCATCAGGTTAAAGAGTAAGAGAAAAAACTTCATAGGCCCATTCATTCGGTGTTACGTGGAAAAATGAATTGTCTTTGAATGAGCAAAACAAAAAATAAAAATGGTATCCATGCCCTATATCTCCCCACCCAAGTTCCGGTTTTACCTTGTCAAGCCCCGTTCTTGAGACTGCTTATTTTTTTATTTATTAGACCTTTTGTGTGCCAATTAGCCTGTTTCACCTTGATATTATTATTTTGAACAGATCTTTGCTTGTGGCAAATGCCGGAGATTGCCGGGCTGTATTATCGCGATGTGGAGTGGCTATAGAAATGTCAAGGGATCATAGGCCATGTTGTACAAAAGAAAGAACGCGGATTGAGTCCTTGGGTGGATATATTGATGATGGTTTTCTAAATGGTGAGTTAGGTGTGACCCGTGCATTAGGTAATTGGCATCTTGAAGGAATGAAGGACGTGGGTGAAAGGGGCGGACCCTTGAGCGCTGAGCCAGAACTTAAACTGATGACACTGAGCAAAGATGATGAGTTTTTGATCATTGGCAGTGATGGGATATGGGATGTGTTCACCAGCCGAAATGCTGTTGATTTCGCTCGAAGGAGACTGCAAGAGCACAATGATGTGAAGTTGTGCTGCAAGCAAATAGTAGAGGAGGCAATAAAGCGGGGAGCAACGGACAATTTGACGCTTGTCATGGTAAGTTTCCACTTGGAGCCACCTCCACATGTGGTGGTAGAGAGACCTCGAGTCAGACGAAGCATTTCTGCCGAGGGACTTCAGAATCTCAAATTCTTCTTGGACAGATAGAATCACTCGTTTATTTGTCGATAATTCCTTGATGGGCAACCGGTCAGCAATAATACAGCCAATGGACCTGAGTTCGCCTTATGTATATACATTCATCCAAAATCCGGTGCTGGAATCTGTTCCAGAGAACAAGGATGCAGAAGATGTTTGTATTATCGAGTTTTGGAATAAATACTTGTACCCTATTGGCGAACGATAGAGTTAGAAAGCTTATTCGATGAAAGAACGCATTGTATATCCGAGGTATTCAGGCTGGTCGGATTTACGGAGAGATTGTTCTGTTATTGTACCTTAGTTTTTCAAGTCGTATGCATAAATTTTATCTGTTAGAACTCAAAATTTGTAATTGTTAAGGTTACTGTTATTCGAACAAGAGTACATAATTGTATACTTTAAAAGAAACCCAACATTCTGAAAACCTAGTACGCATCCTTTTCATCTGTCGATCGCTTTCACACGAGTCCTGCTTGCATTTTTGCTTGGACGACCAGACTTTTTTGTAGCAGACTTTGAAAACAACTCGGCCATGGAGTCGAAAAATTTAGCCATGGAACCGAAAACTTCAGAAAACTGCGTCTGAAATCCGTTCACAGCGATATCTTGCATCTTCTGCGTAATAGTATGAAGTTTCTTCTTCTCAGTCCGCATCTGTTCCTTGAGGTCTGTTTCCTGCAAAAAATTCTCCCTCCTGAGTCTTCTGGCAAGCTTGTCAACCTCCCTCTTTTGTCGGCGCTCCTTATGTTGTTGATCCCTCAGTGCCCGGACATCTTTCACGAAGCTTTTGATGGCGCCAGTCACAGCTTGATACGGCAGCTTATCTAGGCCATCTGACCACTGTCGACAAATTGCAAGCGATGACGGGTTAACCCCCTTTGATTTTAACTTGCTTTCAGTTTCAGCATCGTCCAACTTAGCTAGCCAGCGGTCTAGAGCTTTGACGTACGCCTTTTGCGAAGAAACATACGACGCAAAGTGTGTACGCCAATTTAGAAGTTCCTTTTCGAGCATCCGAGTAGCAACCTGGTTCGAGTCATTGCAGAGCGTTCCATTGGACGGACATTTGAGAGAGTTCACTTCGGACATTATTCTCTTTTGGGTTTCCAGAAATTCAGACATTTTCTTTGAGTTGCTCATTATGCTGCAGAAATTGAGAAAGAGAGGTTAGAACAAAACTCCAACTAAAAAAAAAAAACCAGTAAAACTATGAAATCTAGGTTACCTTTTTAACAACTTAACGAGCTGTGGTTGTAGCTCTTCATCTCTCATTTTCCGAATTGTCTCGGAGATTGATTTAGCATTCTTTTTGGCCGTCAAAATTCTGCAATACAAGCTTTCAATCTCGTATATTTTGGTGTCTAGATCTTCCGATTTTCGGTCACAAATTTTCTCAGTTTCCTCTATTACCTTCTGCTCGCTGTAGAGGTTTTCCTCCAAAGCATATAGCTTTCCTATCGTTAACGAATGGCTTGGAGATCCCTTGTCACCGAGGAGACCACCATCGAAACAAGCCCGTGTTGAAGAACTTCTTAAGCTAGATTTACGTAGACTTTTACGAGAGGAAGACCAAGATAATGTAGATGAGATGGAGCGGCTCCGCGTCATTGAACGGTTGAGATTCCCTTTAATTTCCTCGGCTGCTGATTGCACCTGAGCCATGTCGGTCTCTAACATCCTCGAAACGTGCAAACCAGAATCATACGCCCGACGGAAGTAGTCTTCGACATCTTTCAATGCTTCCAACAATTCTCTCTCTCTACCCTTTTCATTACTTGTCTTCACCACCTCTTTTCTATCACCGTCACCATCGGAGCAATCGGAATCTCCCCGCGGTGACGGCACTGTTTGATCCACCTCCTCTTGTTCCTCATCTGTCTCAGCACAGTCTGAGTTTTCCTGCAGCTCGTTTCCTCTGTCTGCATTTGAAGAGTGCGTCGAAACTTCGAAAGAATGGCTTTCTACAAACAACTTTATAGCCTCCGCTACTTTAAGGAGCGCGAGAATATGCTCGCGCTGTGCATCCGCAAACGCGTACCTGTTCATCTTCACTGATTTCATCAAGTCCTTTCTCTTCGCATTGTCTTGCTTGCTCTTCGAGCCAGCCGAACCCATGTCTCGACTTACAAGTTGAATTCCTCTCGACTTACAAGTTTTTCGCGGCCGGGAAATTAAGAGCTCGAGAAACTGTTGGTGTTGTTTGTGTTCGTTCATGGTGGCGGGAGGGAGGGTGTTCATTTATAGTGGTGCGTAGAAATCCATGTTTAAACAGGTAATTGACATGGTTTTCCTATCAAAAATAGGTCATTTCTAACTCTTTTGAGTAATCCCACGGCCAATAGGGAAACCCTTTCCCTTTTTTTCTTCCTTGGGCCTGAAGGTACAAAGTGCTTGCGCGGGCAAAGAACAGGAAACGGGGGCCGAAACCACGTCATTTTATTGGAAAATGATCGAAATTTGATCCAACGGCTAAAAACATGACCTTCTTTAAAAGTTATAATAACCTTGATAGTTGGATCAAATTTCAAGAGCCTGGATTGGTGAATTTAGCCCAGGATCCCTTTTACCATTTTATCGTCATTAAAAGAAATTGACGACGTGCCATGTTTGTGCTCGGTTTTAAATGACTCAACATTGGAAGGTTTATCTGAAAGTACTTTTAGAATAACTGAAACCGCTTTTAAAATAAGTTTAAAAAAAATGTTTTTAAGTTTTAAAAGCACTTGAATTTCTTCTAGAAAGCACTTCAAGTACTTTTTTAGGATTCACTTACATTTTTATTAAATATTGGTTCTAAAAACATTTTAACCAAAAACTCTTTCAGTCATTTTAAAAGCACATTCAATCGAGCCCCTATTCAAAATTGTTTTCACATTTGTCACGCGAACAATACTCGAGCTACTTACGAGGGTTAAATTGTCATTTTGGTGCACTCAGATATATGGTTGTTAGAGTATGCGTTCAATTCGTTCACGACGGTGGGTGTAGTGAGGGCCAAAAATCGTTCACCTTTTAAGTGGCTCATGGACTGTCCACGTGACATATACACACCAAATTGAAAAAATAAAAATAAAAAATTTTAAGAGAAAATTAATAAAAACCAACTTTTGTGGTATAATCAATAAGTTGTGTTTTGTCCTGGCTTCAAGAAGGGTTAGATTGACCTGCAATAATACCTACAGTTTCTCCCAATTCAACCAGGTCACCATGAGTGGGGTTTCTGCCATAACATAATCGACAGATCCAAGATGTACTCCTATAAGTAAAGGAGGTTCAGATAGATATTGGTTGTGTTTGAAAGGTTATGAATCAAGTGACAAGTCCAATCCCAATACTTGATTTCGAACGGCAATACATCGTGTGCCTATATATATATCGTCTGCTAATACACGGCCAATCAGTTGATCTTTGGAACCTGTTTCAAGTCAGGATGACTAACCAACCAATCTTGGGGGAAAACACTTCTGTTTATGTTTATTTCCGCTTAACTCTCTAACTCTTTAAGTTTCGTAAGGGAACTGGAGCAGGCTAACATGAGACAAAAGATCTTTTTTTCTAAAGAGATTCTATTCGGTACTATTATATGTCCAAGGTCCAATATTGAAATAATTTCAAATGTTTTTCCTTGACTTTGTCCGTGTCAACAAACAAGTCGAATAGCAATGATTCAAAGCACTTCTTTATCTAAAAATGTCGAATTTCATCCAAATCATCACTTATCAGAACTATTCGGAGTGAGTTCCTTGGCTTGGACAGGACATTTAGTTCATGTCGCCATTCCCGAATCCAGGGGAGAAAACATTCGATGGAATAATTTCTTAGATGTATTGCCACATCCCCAAGGATTAGGTCCACTTTTTACAGACCAGTGGAATCTTTATGCTCAAAATCCCAATTCAAGTAGTCATTTATTTGGTACCTCCCAAGGAGCAGGAGCCACCATTCTAAACATTCTGAGGTGGATTGCCGCAGCGAAGTAACCAAATTTCTATTTTAAAAATAAGTTGAATTTTGAATAATGAATGTTGAACAAAACAATGAGATAAAAAACCGTACAGAGAAATGGATCTGCCTAAATTCTACTTGCTTTTGTGGTATGACAAGAAATTAGAAAATCTCAATCACTGTGTGCCTCCTATGCGGCTATATAAAGACCATTTTCCCTCATTCAATTTCCCTTTAATCTCGGTTCTCGCAATCCGAATCAAAAACAAATTGCACAGAAAATAGCAAGAATCAGTATAACAAACACGTTGTTCCACCCCGTCGTGGAGATATACCCGGCCAAAAGCGGGCCAAGAGCTGCAACAGAACCTATTCCGTCTATGATTGCAGTTACAGTGGCTAATGCTTGGGAATTTCCTTTGATCGTGGTCTGCGTACCAAGATCAGCAGCAGCGGCTGTTGTGATGAGTGAGTACGGCCCATTCACCAGCAATCCCGAAAGAAACATCAAAACAATGTTGGCGACCATCGATAGGCTTCCATAAAACCGGTAGAGAACAAGGGCTGGAACCGAAAGTAACAAAAACGCGATTGAGGTTACAGCTCTAGCTTCGAGCATATCAGATATCAATCCTGCTAAAATTCCACCAAAGACTCCTCCAACATCGAATATGGCTGAAAGGTTCCCGGCAGTTTTGTGTGACAAATGCACGCCGGCAACAGCTGCAAGGTGAAACAAAATTCATAATGAATACAGCAAGATTAACGAAGGGGGTCGCTTAAAACTAAAGCATGAAACCCTACAATAATCACAAGACTATCCCAAGAATTCAATTGCAAAATCACAGATAAAAGGAATATTCTTTAACTATTTTCTATATACATTTACCTTCATCATTGCGGATAACTGCAGCGTGCAAAGCCATCCTACCATTTGGGCCTTCATATGTTGGATTTTTGCAACCTTCAAGTATTTGAAGACAATAATGATCGTATCCCCTCTCGACAGCTAGGTAGAGAGGAGTCTCGCCGGCATCATCAGCAGAGTAGGAAAACTCAGGGTTTTCTAAGTGAACACTGTGAAAGGGTATCCTTAAAATGTGTCCAGCATTACTATGGCAGCAGAACGAGAGTGGTGATACTGCTCTACACATCGCGGCAAGATATGGGCGTGCTGGTATAGTTATAGCTCTCATCCAAGCTACAAAAACTTATTATCCAGGCAACCTTGATCAAGGCTGTGCGATCACATCAGAAGATGCCCCTTCGCAGGAGCAAAAGCTCATCAGGAAAACCAACAACAAGAAGGACACAACACTGCACGAAGTTGTCCGCTTTAATTACTTTGGTGTGGTGAAGCGCGAACAACTTTGTGTAGTGCTGTGTCATTCTTCTTGTTGGTTTTCCTGATGAGCTTTTGCTCCTACGAGAGGGCATCTTCTGATGCAATCGCACAGCCTTGCTCGAGGTTGCCTGGATAATAAGTTTTTGCAGCTTGGATGAGAGCTATAACTATACCAGCACGCCCATATCTTGCCGCAATGTGTAGGGCAGTATCACCACTCTCGTTCTGCTGTCATAGTAATACTGGACACATTTTAAGGATACCGTTCACAGTGTTCATTGACTCAAGTATCTCATCGCCAGATCCTTCATACGTTGGGTGCCTATAGCATGTTGTATAGATATGAAGGACTGTGTTCTTGGTTGCAGTCAATATTTTGTCCAGATTCTCGCCATGTTCCTTAAGGACATCGAGATTGCCTTGTTTTGCAGCGTTGAAAGCATCAGGATCCATGCTACTTGTTAAAACTGTAATATTGTTGCCTTCTAATTTTGCAGCTTCTTGGATGTCGGTCTGATCTGCTAGCTCGATCTGGTCACCGACCCGACACCGACCCGATCGGTTGGATGTCGGTCTGACTGATTAGCCATATTAGAGGCATCCATGTTGAGGGGGTGACAGATATTTTTACACCTGGAAAAGGTTAAAAACAACTAAAATACTTGTTAGAGAAACAAGATTATCGTAGTATAATTGGCTCAAGCAAAGTCGTTCACCAACAACAACAACAACAACAACAAAGCCTTTTCCCACTAAGTGGGGTCGGCTATATGAATCCTAGAACGCCATTGCGCTCATTTGTGTCATGTCCTCCGTTAGATCCAAGTACTCAAGTCTTTTCTTAGGGTCTCTTCCAAAGTTTTCCTAGGTCTTCCTCTACTCCTTCGGCCCCGAACCTCTGTCCCGTAGTCACATTTTCGAACCGGAGCGTCAGTAGGCCTTCTTTGCACATGTCCAAACCACCGGAACCGATTTTCTCTTATATTTCCTTCAATTTTGGCTACTCCTACTTTACCTCGGATATCCTCATTCCCAATCTTATCCTTTCTCGTGTGCCCATACATCCCACGAAGCATCCTCATCTCCGCTACACCCATTTTGTGTACGTGTTGATGCTTCACCGCCCAACATTCTGTGCCATACAACATCGCTGGCCTTATTGCCGTCCTATAAAATTTTCCCTTGAGCTTCAGTGGCCTACGACGGTCACACAACACGCCGGATGCACTCTTACACTTCATCCATCCAGCTTGTATTCTATGGTTGAGATCTCCATCTAATTCTCCGTTCTCTTGCAAGATAGATCCTAGGTAGCGAAAACGGTCACTTTTTGTGATCTTCGCTAGATTGCTCCGGTCATTAGTGTGGATAAGTATATAAATGGATAGAGATAGGAAAGCAAACACAAGATGTACGTGGTTCACCCAGATTGGCTACGTCCACGGAATAGAGGAGTTCTCATTAATTGTGAAGGGTTTACACAAGTACATAGGTTCAAGCTCTCCTTTAGTGAGTACAAGTGAATGATTTAGTACAAATGACATTAGGAAATATTGTGGGAGAATGATCTCGTAAGCCACGAAACTTCTAAGTACCGGAGTGTGGTATCGTCTTGACTTGCCTTATCTGTCTCATAGGTAGGCATCTTCTCTGGAAGTACTCTTCCTCCATCCAGGGGTGGTATCTGTAACTGGTGGAGATGCACAAGGTAATGTATCAATTTCACTTGAAGCTTACTTGTAGTTTCAGGCTTGGTCAAGCGCGATACAAACCATGTAGTAGGAGTCCCCCAAGTCGCCGAGCTAGGGGATCTGCTGAAAGAGGTGACAGACAAGGTAAGCAATCAGAGCTCCGGCTGATTGTTCACATTCTCCCTATCTTGCAGGCAGCATGAAGGATAAAGAGAAGAAAAATGAGAAGAGATGATATGGGATACTTTTGCTTTTGAAGAAGTAACTTTCCACAGGCTTATTCTTGAACTGGGCTGGAGGGTTTTCTGGTTTCCTCCAGAGTATAAGGCCGACTGAAGAATTTGAGGGTCAAAACAAGTCCATCAAATCTAGAGTACGTTCGACCCTGCTGATATGGGATACTTTTGCTTTTGACAGAGTAGTGGATGTATCGGCACGTGTGCTGTTACGCTTGTCTCCACATGCTTCCTTGTATCCTTCTCACTTGCCCTATCTGTTCCTCAGGCAGATGCGGTATCTTCCCTGGAAGCATAAGATGTTGAAGATGAGTACTCGAGAGCAATGCCAGGTAAGTAATCAGGTAAGGGGTTCCAGGCAGTCAGTTCCTGGCTGGAAGCTTGATTCCAAGTGCTGACTGATTGCTCTCTTTCTCCTTGTCTTGCAGGTAAGAACAAGGCCAAAGGAAAAGACAGGGAAAAAGCATGATATGGGATACTCTTGCTTTTAACCCTGATGATATGAGATATTCTTGCTCTAGTATAGCTTGTTTACAGAGGTATTATCGGGGGGAAAGAAAGCTGAATATTTCGAAAGGCTTCGTTGGGAGTGCCCTCTCAGATAAGAGGAAGGGTTGAGCATTTTTGCAGGTCTGCCTGTCCGTTAGGGATGGAGGTCGACATATATAGGAGTCTCCCTAACATCAAGTAATAATGTTATTCCTTTACCCTGCTTGGTCATAGCACGGTAGTGGGAGCTGCCAGCTTCACATGTTTTAACTCTGTCAGAGCACTTTGAAAAAGTGGTCTGTGGTATCTGGAAAGCTGATGTTGCGTGTGAAGATTACAGACAAGCTTTATCCAAGGAGATCCTGGCTCTTCGAAGATTCGGAGAAACGATGCCTCTTCGATTTTTGAGAAAGCAATCCTGCTGGGGGTCTGGCTCTCGAGATTCGGAGAGCGGATGTCTCTTCGATTTTTGAGAAAGTAATCATGTTGGGAGTCTGGCTCTCGAGATTCGGAGGGCGGTGCCTCTTCGATTTTGGAGCAAGCAATCTTGTTGGGAGTGTTTTCTCGAATGTGAGTAAAGGTTGGGCATGTTTGCTAGTCTACCTTGCCACGAAGCACAGAGGTTGACACACAGGGACTTTCCAATTATCCAGCAGTGGTACTGTTCCTTTACCCTCTCTTCGATTTTTGAGAAAGTAATCATGTTGGGAGTCTGGCTCTCGAGATTCGGAGGGCGGTGCCTCTTCGATTTTGGAGCAAGCAATCTTGTTGGGGAGTGTTTTTCTCGAATGTGAGTAAAGGTTGGGCATGTTTGCTAGTCTACCTTGCCACGAAGCACAGAGGTTGACACACAGGGACTTTCCAATTATCCAGCAGTGGTACTGTTCCTTTACCCTCTCTTCGATTTTTGAGAAAGTAATCATGTTGGGAGTCTGGCTCTCGAGATTCGGAGGGCGGTGCCTCTTCGATTTTGGAGCAAGCAATCTTGTTGGGAGTGTTTTCTCGAATGTGAGTAAAGGTTGGGCATGTTTGCTAGTCTACCTTGCCACGAAGCACAGAGGTTGACACACCGGGACTTTCCAATTATCCAGCAGTGGTACTGTTCCTTTACCCTTGTGGGTAATAATATGGTAGCTAGACCTTCAAAATTTATGTGTCTAAACTTTGTTAGTGTTGTTTCTTTGCTATTCTTTTACCCTTCTTGGTCAGAGCGATGTAGTGGGAGCTGCAAGCTTCACGTGTCTCAACTTTGTCAGAGAACTTTGGCAAAGTTATCTGTGGTACCCATGAGCTACTGTTGCGTGTGGGAAGTGGGTGATTGAACAGTACGATTCATGTGCTTTCTACTTCGCCAGAAATCTTCGACAGAATGCCCATAATTTCCGCAAAGCTGAGTGTGCGTGTGACAGGTGCTGACAAGGCTGGAAAAAGTAGGTGCCTCTTCGATTTCTGAGATCGGCCCTCGTGGTCTCTGAGCAGCCCAGCTTTTGAGAAAGCAAGCCTCTTCGATTTCTGAGATCGGCCTTCGTGGTCTTTGAGCAGCCCAGCTTTTGAGAAAGCAAACGCCTCTTCGATTTCTGAGATCGACCCTCGTGGTCTCTGAGCAGCCCAGCTTTTGAGAAAGCAAACGCCTCTTCGATTTCTGAGCAGGCGCCTCTTCGATTTCTGAAGCTTCGTCGAGTGCAGATTTTTATAGGGGCTGACATTAAGTTCCAAAGCACACTTGAATATCCACCAGTAGAAGCTCCATTCTTGCACTTCTAAGATCTTGATTTGTCCGACCTCTTCTCTCTTCAACACCTTTGAAAATGTCTGGCCCCTCCGACCGTCGTTTTGACTTGAACCTTGTTGAAGAGGCAGCCCCGCCTTCTCCAGACAACATATGGCGCCCATCCTTCGTCTCCCCTACTGGTCCTCTTACCGTTGGGGATTCCGTGATGAAGAATGATATGACCGCTGCGGTAGTGGCCAGGAACCTTCTCACTCCCAAAGATAACAGACTACTTTCCAAACGGTCTGATGAGTTGGCTGTTAAGGATTCTCTGGCTCTCAGTGTTCAGTGTGCAGGTTCTGTGTCTAATATGGCCCAACGCCTATTTGCTCGAACCCGCCAAGTTGAATCATTGGCGGCTGAAGTGATGAGTCTCAAACAGGAGATTAGAGGGCTCAAGCATGAGAATAAACAGTTGCACCGGCTCGCACATGACTATGCTACAAACATGAAGAGGAAGCTTGACCAGATGAAGGAATCTGATGGTCAGGTTTTACTTGATCATCAGAGATTTGTGGGTTTGTTCCAAAGGCATTTATTGCCTTCGTCTTCTGGGGCTGTACCGCGTAATGAAGCTCCAAATGATCAACCTCTGATGCCTCCTCCTTCTAGGGGTTCTGTCCAGTACTGAGGCTCCGAATGATCCCCCTCCGGTGCCTTCTCTTTCTGGGGCTCTACCGACTGCTGAGACTTCTCCTAAGCAACCTTTGTGAAGGCTCCCTCTTGTTTGTTTATTTTGACTCAAGTATATGTACATATTTGTAACTTATCGGGGATATCAATAAATAAGCTTTCCTTCATTTCAACGTATTGTGTTAAATACACCAAAGCCTTCTTCGCTAAGTTCTTTGAATTTTCTTTTGTTGAAGCTTGTATGTTGAAGCTTTGTGAGTGGAGCATATAGGTTGAGGTAGTGTTCCCTTAATTTCCCGAGTGAGGAAAACTTCTCGGTTGGAGACTTGGAAAATCCAAGTCACTGAGTGGGATCGGCTATATGAATCTTAGAACGCCATTGTGTTCTGTCCTGTGTCATGTCCTCCGTTAGATCCAAGTACTCTAAGTCTTTTCTTAGGGTCTCTTCCAAAGTTTTCCTAGGTCTTTCTCTGCCCCTTCGGCCCTGAACCCTCTGTCCCATAGTCGCATCTTCTAATCGGAGCGTCAGTAGGCCTTCTTTGCACATGTCCAAACCACCGTAACCGATTTTCTCTCATCTTTCCTTCAATTTCGGCTACTCCTACTTTACCCCGGATATCCTCATTCCTAATCTTATCCTTTCTCGTGTGCCCACACATCCAACGAAGCATCCTCATCTCCTGCTACACCCATTTTGTGTACGTGTTGATGCTTCACCGCCCAACATTCTGTGCCATACAGCATCGCCGGCCTTATTGCCGTCCTATAAAATTTTCCCTTGAGCTTCAGTGGCATACGGCGGTCACACAACACGCCGGATGCACTCTTCCACTTCATCCATCCAGCTTGTATTCTATGGTTGAGATCTCCATCTAATTCTCCGTTCTTTTGCAAGATAGATCCTAGGTAACGAAAACGGTCGCTCTTTGGTATTTCTTGATCTCCGATCCTCACCCCTAACTCGTTTTGGCCTCCATTTGCACTGAACTTGCACTCCATATATTCTGTCTTTGATCGGCTTAGGCGAAGACCTTTAGATTCCAACACTTCTCTCCAAAGGTTAAGCTTTGCATTTACCCCTTCCTGAGTTTCATCTATCAACACTATATCGTCTGCGAAAAGCATACACCAAGGAATATCACCTTGAATATGTCCTGTTAACTCATCCATTACCAACGCAAAAAGGTAAGGACTTAAGGATGAGCCTTGATGTAATCCTACAGTTATGGGAAAGCTTTCGGTTTGTCCTTCATGAGTTCTTACGGCAGTCTTTGCTCCTTCATACATATCCTGTATAGCTTGGATATATGCTACTCGTACTCCTTTCTTCTCTAAAATCCTCCAAAGAATGTCTCTTGGGACCTTATCATACGCTTTTTCCAAATCTATAAAGACCATGTGTAAATCCTTTTTCCCATCTCTATATTTTTCCATCAATCTTCGTAAGAGATAGATTGCCTCCATGGTTGAGCGCCCTGGCATGAACCCGAATTGGTTGTCCGAAACCCGTGTCTCTTGCCTCAATCTATGCTCAATGACTCTCTCCCAGAGCTTCATTGTATGACTCATTAGCTTAATTCCCCTATAGTTCATGCAATTTTGTACATCGCCCTTATTCTTGTAGATAGGCACCAAAGTGCTCATTCGCCACTCATTCGGCATCTTCTTCGTTTTCAAAATCCTATTGAAAAGGTCAGTGAGCCATGTTATACCTATCTCTCCCAAAACTTTCCACACTTCGATTGGTATATCGTCTGGGCCTACTGCTTTTCTATGCTTCATCTTCTTCAAAGCTACACCCACTTCTTCCTTTCGGATTCTACGATAAAAAGAGTAGTTTCTACACTCTTCTGAGTTACTCAACTCCCCTAAAGAATCACTCCTTTCATGTCCTTCATTGAAAAGATTATGAAATAACCTTTCCATCTGTCTTTAACCGCGTTCTCTGTAGCAAGAACCTTTCCATCCTCATCCTTGATGCACCTCACTTGGTTTAGGTCCTTTGTCTTCTTTTCCCTTGCTCTAGCTAGTTTATAGATATCCAACTCTCCTTCTTTGGTATCTAGTCGCTTATACATATCGTCATAAGCCGCTAACTTAGCTTCTCTCACAACTTTCTTCGCCTCTTGCTTCGCTTTTCTATACCTTTCACCATTTTCATCGGTCCTATGCTTATATAAGGCTTTACAACATTCCTTCTTAGCCTTCACCTTTGCTTGTACCTCCTCATTCCACCACCAAGATTCCTTTTGGTGTGGGGCAAAGCCCTTGGACTCTCCTAATACCTCTTTTGCTACTTTTCGGATACAACTAGCCATGGAATCCCACATTTGGTTAGCTTCCCCCTCTCTATCCCACACACACTGGGTGATTACTTTCTCTTTGAAAATGGCTTGTTTTTCTTCTTTTAGATTCCACCATCTAGTCCTTGGGCACTTCCAAGTCTTGTTCTTTTTTCTCACTCTTTTGATATGTACATCCATCACCAACAAGCGATGTTGATTAGTCACGCTCTCTCCTGGTATAACTTTGCAATCCTTACAAGTTATACGATCCCCTTTCCTCATTAGAAGAAAATCTATTTGTGTTTTTGACGACCCACTCTTGTAGGTGATCACATGTTCTTCTCTCTTCTTAAAGAAGGTGTTGGCTAAGAAGAGATCATATGCCATTGCAAAATCCAAGATAGCTTCCCCATCCTCGTTTCTCTCCCCAAAACCATGGCCACCATGAAAACCTCCATAGTTGCCTGTCTCCCTGCCCACGTGTCCATTAAAATCTCCTCCTATAAATAACTTCTCCGTCTGAGCAATTCCTTGCACCAAGTCTCCAAGGTCTTCCCAAAATTTCTCTTTCGAACTCGTATCCAACCCTACTTGAGGTGCGTACGCACTAATCACATTGATAAGTTCTTGTCCTATTACAATCTTGATTGCCATGATTCTATCTCCTACCCTCTTGACATCTACAACATCTTGTGTCAAGGTCTTGTCCACGATGATGCCAACACCGTTTCTCGTTCTATTTGTGCCCGAATACCATAGTTTAAACCCTGAGTTTTCTAGATCCTTTGCCTTACGACCAACCCACTTAGTTTCTTGTAGGCACATAAATATTTATCCTTCTCCTCACCATAACTTCTACTACTTCCATAGATTTTCCCGTCAAGGTTCCTATATATTCCACGTTCCTAAACGCATTTTGCTCTCTTGAACTCTACCCTTCTGTCCTAGCTTCTTCACCCTTCCCCGTCTAATAGGATCAAAGTACTTCTTTTGTGTGTCCCCTGTAAAGTTGATAGGAGCATATGCTCCCAAACAACTTTGAGTGGAGTCGTTCGAAAAGAAGTTTCTATAGCCCCCTTGCTCATTTAACACTGTATCCGGGTGCCGATGGAGATACAGCGACCCTTGCTCACTTATCACTGTGCTCAGGCCACACAACGCGCCACTTACGGGTGACGCCCTAGCTTTAGCGCGATTTCGTTCTGGATTCATTTTCATAAGGATTCGACGTGATCATGGAGTGCCGGCTGTCGACTACCTGACGCCCTCCCCCTCCTCCTTTATCCGGGCTTGGGACCGGCAATGTAAGATAAACTTACACGGCGGAGTTAAGCAAAGTCGTTCACCACAGAAATTAATTTAAATAAATTTATGTAAACCAAAACTCAACTAATTGTTAAGAACAAAATATTAGAAAATGGTGATTTAAAGACTTAAATTAAGAAAAACGAATTTAATTTAAAAAGTTAATTAAATCTGCAATTTTTAAAGAAGGAGAAACGAAAACAATTTTTAAAAATGAAAACTAATGAAAAAACTTTGAATTTTAATGATAAGAACAAAATAAAGGGTAAAGTAAATAGTACCAGGATTGACTTTTTAGTGTAAAAATATGATTTTTCGTTAAAATGAACAGTACCGGGTGCTTTTCGTTAAAGTTCCTTTTTAAAATTCATGTGAGAAAGCGCTAGGTTTCTAAAACACATTCAGCTCTGCGAGGAATGAGAGACATTTTAGCTTTTACTAGACTACCATGAACAATGAAAAGTGCTTCAAGACACAAACATCCCATGATATCTCACAATATCATGAGGGCATAAACACATACAATTATCAAGAAGAACACATAACCATTAACCCCTTTGATCTGCAAAACCAAATAACATTTTTCAACAAAAAAGAAGTAATTTGACAAAGCAAATACAGAATACAAAAACAGATATGTAGCTTCATTTAGATTACAGGAAGTCCATTCAAACAACAAAAGGATATAAATTATAAATAAAATTATTCAAGAACCAACCGTTTTCAAAGATCACTGGTTCCAGCGTTCAAAACAACCAACTGAAGACGGTTACCTGAATTAAATGAAAATTAAAATGTAATTAATTTACTCTTAACCATGATTTTTCTTCAAGAACCGGAAAACCCTAAAAATATCCCAAACAATCCCAAATTTTGGAACTGTTTTAAGCCAACTTACCATGAAATTACAGTCGCTAGAGAAATCTTCCTCAAATCAGGACGGAACAGGCATCGCAGACTGCGTTTCTTGGAAACCGCTAAAAAAACTGGAATCAGCGCAAAAGCTCCAGGGACGTTATTTTGTTTGGGTGGTGTTTGGAGATGATGTGATGGTGGTTCTCGGTTTTGCGGAGAGGGAGAATGAGACAGATGGTAGAGGCAGAGTAGTGAGGGATGAGAGAGATTGACAGTGTTGGGAGATGGGGGAGTCTGAGTGGGGTAGAGAGAGGTGAGGGCTGAGTGAATTAGGCGCGGGAAGGAGGGGGAGAGGAATTAGTGGGGGATAGAAACCATGGAAAATTCCAGAGATCCGGCTGTAGGAGAGATTTTTCCACTGTCAATCTCTCTCATCCCTCACTCCAGGGGCATTTCGTGTACTGTTAATGAACAGTATTTTTCTGTTTGGAACCCTAAGGAGACCCATACACGGACGGATGCACGACATGTGTGTCAATCGTGTGCATTTTCTGTCTGATTTTTTGAGCTGTTTTGAATTCAAGGGGAGGAGAGCCGTTTGAGCACAAGGGGCAGCTTTAGGGTTGGGGAGCATTTTTGCTCATCATCCTAAATTTTGGCGTATGCTCGTCAAATAAAATGCTCCTCAACCCTAAACTTTGACGTATGCTCATTATATACCTAATTATTTATCACGTGTCATTTCATTTAATCTTTGTGAATTTTCACATTAAATGTTAATTTTTTAATTTTGAAAAAAAATTACTCAAAATTAAGTAAAATGACACATGATAAATAATTAGATGTATGATAAACATACAACAAAATTTAGGTTAGTGAGAAAAAATGCTCCCTTAGGGTTGTGAAATGGGGCATCAGAAACATGGGGGCATTCCACTATCAGCACGTTTTGATCTTTCGAAGGCCCACGGGTTGTCATACCTTGAGGACTTCTCAAATGAGCCCAGGTGTGTCCATTTTCTTTTATATTTGTTTTTGTTTTATTTATCATTTATTCTTTTGTTTTGTTTCTTATTTTATTTTATTTACTATTTTTCTACACCTTGAGGACAAAGTATGAAATAAGTTTTGGAATTTAGAATTTTTAGAATTTTTTTTAATTTTCAAGTCAAATAAATTTTTTTATTCTTTTTAAGTTAATATCCATAGATTATTTCAAGAAAACAAATGGACATGGTAAAGGTTAATCCCACAATGGTCTTTTCTATTTATCGTTACTTAGACACTAATTTATGAGTTATGCTTTGACAATTTGCACATTCACATCAACATGGTTTGTGGGGAGTGAGATTGAAACACTTACTTTTAGTCCATGTTAAACTTTAATTTTTAATCTTAGTAAAGTAAAGTTTAGTTCTTGTTATGAATAAAGTAATAATTGTTCCAACCAAGGCTTTGCTTTGTAACCGGGTTAGTCATGCCTAAACAGTAGTGATTCTCGCGTCAAACGGTAAAGTTTTGGCATGGGGTAAGGTGGTTAGTTGGTTTCGTAGCCTTTTCAGCTTGAGTTAGTAAGTCCTTAGGAGTGTTTTACACCTAGTGCCCTAAAGCCCTAGTGGTTTAGGAGTTATTGACTTAAAGCTAGCTACATGGGTTGGATCGAAAGTTTAAGTAAACTGGCATTGCACGACCACTATTGTTACTAAAAAACAAAAATTGAAAAGAAGAAAAAAAAAATATAAATATATAATACTTGTCTCAAGTGAGTTTGTGTGAAGTGTTGAATAAAAGGACAAGAGATAAGGGTTTTAGTCGAGTCTCCTTAACTATGTTGGTTCACTTTATACCAAAGGAAGTTTGTGAATTCTTTTCTAATTGATTCTAAATAACTTAGACTCTATGGTGGGATTGGTTGGAACTTTTGAAAAGATGTTCTGATTTTTAACATTTTCTATGGATTGCAACTTAGAGGTGAAAATTTTGTCTTAGTTTAGTTTTGTTTAAGTCCTTAGTTCGTTAGCTTTTATTTTTGTTTTTTAGTTCTATTTTGCTTGAGGATAAGCAAAAAGTTAAGTTTGGGGGTATTTTGATGTGTCAAATTCATATTATATATTTTATCTTATTCTTAATATGTTTTGGTAATTATTTTGGTAGAGTTTTGATACTTTACTTTGTATTTTCAATATAGAATTTTGGGAAAGTTTGGATTTATTCAGACAAACTTTCTCGCCAATTGGACAAACTTTTTATTGTGGCTGAAGTGCTTTGGAATGAAATTTTCTTAAAGAAAATCGATACTACTAACAATGTAGTTAAGCTAAAAACATAAACACAAATGCTTAAGTTGGAACCCTAATATTCTTCATGTGAATTGGTATTAGGGTTTCACAATGATATATATATATATATATATATGAAATCCTTCATAAATGCAAATGCTTAAAACTCTGCATCACTCGAGCGTCCCGTTTCATCGTGTTGATAATGCAAGTCGGACGCACTTAGTGAAGAAAGCAATCTCCCGCAATTTTCTTTACTAATTTCAACCAACGCAATGGACCTAAAGCAATGATATAATCTTCCTGTTCATTTACGAGCAAAATAAAATTTATTAATTTCATCATTCCCCACTTACGAGAAATTTTTTTAGTACTTTGAAAATACGGTTTTTGTATGAAGTGTCATTAACACAAGTGTTGGATTTGTTTTCAAATATCCAACTACTTGTATACGACACTTCTATAACAAGTCGTGTTCCAAAATCATTGAAAAATCTCTGTCTCCTCACATAAAGGTGAAAAACCTAACAAACAAACGTACAATTAATAAAATCATCTAATCACAAAAGGGGAATAGTAACACTTACGCGGAAGAAAATATGGCCGTCTAGCTGTGCTGCAATTGCCTACAATTGTATTAGGATAGTTTAGAGATACAACAAACATGAACATTTCTGAACTTGTTTGAAAGCGTTTTAAATAGATTAAAAGTACTTTTAGAGAAAATATTTTTGTATTCTAAAAGTACTTTCCCTTGCATATTTGCTAAAGATTTGTTCACAAAAACTTTTCACTAAGAACATTTGCAGCACTTCCAAAAGAGGTTTAAGGTTCTGTAGACATAAATTTTCATTAGAGTTTATGTTACTGAGTTGGAACAACAATCCAATGCTTTTCTGTTCATGGAACAGGTTCCAAAAAGATAGGTGCTGGAAGGTTAAAATCCAAGTGTCTCTGGTGTTCTGAAATTATAGCCTTTAACCAAGGAAGAAAATATCGGTAATATCGGAAATATCGGTAGTCCGAAAACACGGAAATATCAATGCAAATATCGGGATAATATCGATATCGATAAAAATTACATGGAAACCACGGAAATTGTAAGAAAAACTTGGAAATTTTTATTGAAACTTTGCAAGATGTTTATTTAGTCAATTATCTATTAGTTTATCATAAAAAATTGGAAGGAAATGCATTGCATGATGGATTTAACATTATCAAGTTGATTATATAGCGAGCTGACAAACATTATGAGTGTAAAAAATATATAGTAATTAATGAAAGAAATTTAAACACACCATAATCATTTATATATATTAAATTAGTACAATATTTTACACTTTATACATTGTACCATTCCTAAAAGATGTAAAAGTTGAATTATTTACCATGCTTTTCTTTTCTCACAACGTCACACACCACCTACACACACACGCCACCGACACACACACGCACACACAAGATCACACACGCCACCACACACGCACACCACACACGCACACACGACTTATATCTGGAACCTTCTCTCTTCTCCCTCTCCCTCTCCCTTCTCCCACAAACACACACACAGATCGACAGATCTCTCGAATTCTCGATCCTTCTCTCTTCTCCCTTCTCCCATACACACGCACAGAGACCTTTCTCGATCCTTCTTCCACATGGCATTCTCCTCCTCCCTCGCCTTCCTCCTGGTCCGCGTATTCCGCCTCGTCGGCGAACCCAGGAACTCTGAGTTCTCTTGATCCTTCTCCGCCTTGCTCACCGATCCCACCGATAACAACCCCACCTCTGTCGTTGACTCCAACGACGACCCCCAATCGCCCCCAAACCCCAACCTCAACCTCCACAACAACCACCCATTCTCCTCCTCCCCCCGGAGCCTGCCCTGCCGGCGCCGCGCTCGCCTCCGTCTCTGTTCCCCGTCTGCTTCAACCCAAGACCACGCCTGCCTCGCCGTGGGGACAGACCACGAGTTGTGGATCTACAACTGCGAGCTCGATCCGTTCTGGAGTTGTGGATCTTTCGCCGCGACTTCGACAACGGCGGGGGAATCGGTGTCGTTGAGGCGCAGATCTTAGGTTTGAGCATGGATTGCAGAGAGATCTGGGCAGCTAGGGGGACGACGCAGCCTCGGCTGCCTTTCCGACGACGGATCCACGACGACTTTTTCGATAATATCGAAAATATCGCGATATTATCGATAATATCGCGATATTTTGACGATAATGAGACGGATATGTGAAAAAATATCGAAGCCTCTGAAAAACGATAATATCGGCGAAATATCGCCGATATTATCGATATTTAAAACCATGCCTTTAACACATCCACTGTAGCTGCCGGGTGCACTTGCACTAGAACTTTGTCGTCACACCCGTGCTGGACCACCCGAACATTTATGTTGGCATTGATGTTGTAGGGAATTGCAAGAGACTGCACTTGTGTAAGAACTTGTATGGTTTCCCCCTCTAGTTGAACACTATTCCACGAATACGACTGACTGTTATCCATGACTGATTTCTTGTGGGCAAACAAATAGAAATTTGGAATCTAGTGAAGTGCTTCCAAAAACACTTCACTAGATTCTATGCATTTGGAAGCACTTCACTAGATTCCCTAGACTTCCGTGCTTTTGGAAGAGAGTTGACGAAGTTGTGTTGGCTATCACTTCACTAGATTCCAAATTTCTATTTGTTTGCCCATAAGAAATCAATCATGGATGACAGTCAGTCGTATTCATGGAATAGTGTTCGACTAGAGGGGAAACCATACAAGTTCTTACATAGGAGCAGTCTCCTGAAATGCCCTACAACATTAATGCCAACAGTGGTCCAATGCGTGTGTGACAGCAAAGTTACGGTGCAAGTGCATCGGGCAGCTATAATGGATGTGTTGAAGGCTATAATTTCGTAACACCATAAACACTTGGATTTCAACCTTCCAACACTTGATCTTCTGGAACCTGTTCCATGCACATAACCAGAACACAAGCGTGAGATAGTTCTCATCTTTTTTCGTTTAATCTAAAAGCAGTCACGAAAGGGACGGAAGAGAGTGAGAATTGTTACCTTTCAATGATGACTGGAGCTCTGATTTGAAAGATTTTTAATGATGATTGGAACTCGGATTTGTTGAAAAACCGTCATGAGAGAGAAAGGCTAAGCTTGAGTCTGAGCTCTGGCAGAGATATGGCAACCGATTCAGGTAAAGCTTGGGGTGTGGTTCTCGAGGTTGGCTGAGAAGTGAAGTAAGAGAGAGTGAGAGGCTCTTCAAGTGGAAAGTGAAGGCGAGATTCCAGGGAGTTCTCAACGGCACCTAGGGTTTAAGGGAG